CCAGTTTCCACAATAAGATCTTCAGCATACACCCCTCATTTTTAAAGAGAACATCAGGAAGCACTTTGAAATCCTGAACTTCATAGATAGGGAATTAAATAAATGCATAAGCTTCCAAAAAATAAAGTCATATAGTATCTGCCTCCTGGTGGTCAATGTAACTGCCAAAGACCAAAAAACAGAAGAAAGCAAAAAAGATATCAGAACAAATGGTGTGCACTGAGGCCAATCATGAAAACCCACAGCAGAATAGTGGTATGAATTGTCAAGAAAGAAGAGAAGCTAATACAAAGAAGGACAAAACCTCAGGAAGGAACAAAGAATTCCACAGAGTCGAGGGAGGACTATAGCAGTCTAGGTGAATTTGGAGGTTTAAAAAAAAAAACGTGTCCCAAATTCAACCTCCAATATTTCTGGATTGAGCAGAAAAGACTTCCTCTGAAACTTCCTGACAGTGAGGACAATTAAGTAGTGGAACAGCTTGCCTCCAGAAATTGTGGGCGCTCCATCAGTGGAGATTTTTAAGAAGAGGCTCGACAGTCACTTGTCTGAGATGGTATAGGTTCTCCTGCTTGAGCAGGGGGCTGGACTAGAAGACCTCCAAGGTCCCTTCCAGCTCTATTCTATTCTATTCTATTCTATTCTATTCTATTCTATTCTACTCTACTCTACTCTACTCTACTCTACTCTACTCTACTCTACTCTACTCTACTCTTTGAGAGCCACTTAGTGCCAATGGAACTGAGCTAATGGAGCAGCTTCCAATGCTGCTATTATATCAGCATAGTTATCCTGTGTCCCAATGGGGAAGGAGGAGCTTCTCTCTCTTATCTTTGCACTCCTGCCCAGTTACCTCTTTCCCTTGCCTCACTTCCATCCTCCACCCCTTTTTTTTTACTTGCCTACTGCAAATGCAACAACCACCTCATTGTTCCTATCTCTGTTCTGTTCAGGTTTCTTGCTTGCTGGATGAGGTCTGTGTGGGCACTTCTCTGTTTCTGTGTCCAAGAGTAGATTGTGTGTCAGAGAGAAAAGTTGGTTGTGCACATGTGGATCAATTAATTTTATAACTGGAATATCTCATTCTGCAGATAATTAAATAGTAATTAATTAAACTTGCTGCCTTTTTGGTATGTAGTTTCTTGTGGCTGCATATAACACATAGACACATTTTATATGGGTTGCTTTCTGCATACACTTCCTTGGAGTATGAGGAATAGTAATAAATTCAGATCTTCCTTTTGGGTAAATGCAATAGGGGCAACAAAAGTGATTTTAGATTTATATTAAGTACAGAATACATCAAAGGTAATAATATAAAAATATTTTCAAAGATAGCAAAGAAACTGAAAACAGACAGCCAAGATTTAAACTTATTTATGATTAATGGCCCAAGATTAAGCCAAAGCTCTTATTTATAATTTATGATGCTATATATTAATTTACCGGAACAGAGGCTATTTTATATATTTAATTTATAATTTACCATTCTAGCTCATAGAAGCTTACATCAATTATCAATTTCATCAATGTTCTCATTCTCTCCCCAGAGGGCATTGTAATTTTTTCCATGTAAGAGCTAAAGAATACTGTAACCATAAACCAAAGAAGAGGAATTTAAGCTGAAAAACAATTCCGTTCTACACATGAGCAGTTTATGATTACTTGCTTTTCTACAGCAGAAAACTTTCTTGCATAAATTCTGTTCATTTTTCTACTGTCTACTATAAGTTTGTACTTTCTCAAGTCATAAGCAAGTCAGGCACAAAAGGGAAGTGGATGAACCCACCAAAATCTTTTTCTCTTTATCATTGCGTAAATGTACTTGCTAGAAAATGTGTCAACCTTCCATCTTGTTGTTACCCTCCTATATCTTAAAGCAGTTTGAAATTAAAGAAATTAAATTGAATAATACAATGAAAAATGTATGATCTTATATGAAATCAGATAGTCATTAAAAAGTAGAGGGGGAACTATTTATGCAAATCCACAGAGGCAAGGCCTAGATGAAAGGCTAGAGAATTGATGGCTTTGGGAACATCCCCAAGCCATCCACTTGATCTTTCTGAGGGAGTAAAAACTCATTTAGAATAGAACCATATACAGAACAGAATTCTCCTTGTTTTGATCCTCTAGCTCCCTCTGTTGCTTGCTAAATGGGATCAGTGGGAAGAGGGCTGCCATTTTCGTATGGCTCGCTTCACTGGCCTGTCACAGGACATGCACCTGTGACCCTGAATGTTCCACCTTCATAAATCTTCATTTTCTGTGTTCTGCTGTGATCAGACACACACCTAACGGAGAATAAAACTCAAAAGTCTTGAGAAATATTTGGGTGGGAAGAGGGAGAAGAGATATCTATGTTTGAGCTCCAGTGATTCAATTTGGAAAAACGTGTATTTTGCAAGGCCTGAAAATCAAATCCATACACTGAAACCTCAAACTCTTTTCCTGAAAATAAAAATGCTTAGATTTTGATCACCTTAATTCATTATGCACACGCTCCTTCTGCAAGGTTGCCAAATCTAAACTCTGGCAAAGTTCCAGTAGTGAATTTCTCCAGGCCCAGTTCTTTTCATCTCAGGCTGTGGTGACAGAAGAAATTGTATTTGGTAGAATTTCCCACCCCATGAAACTCAGAAGAGTACAGCCCTAATTACAGCCTGTTAACCCAACTTCTAGTTATCATAAATGGTTTAGGAAGTTGATAACCGTGACATACACTGTGGCTCAAGCACTGCCCTAAGACAGATGCAACTGATTGCCTTTGACTTAACATGTTGTGTGAATCTGGATCTGGCTAATTGAACAAGTCATACTTCAAACTAATCATGACACAGTCCCATATGTGATTCCAGCAATTGTTTAATTAAAGAAGTAGCATAAGTGGAATCTAAATATTTGTAGACATCTTGTAAATACATCCAAGTCAGCAGGCCTAAACTGGAGTAAAATTCATACAACTACATGGGGAAACATGTCCCACACCATTTGGCCAACATCCTCATTTTGTTCTATATAGCAGCAAAGAATTCTTCCATTTATCATATAGCCACAACATTTGTTAGAACAGGAGGAGGAGAGAGAAAGTTTTAATCCAATGTCAATTAATGATTTAATGTTTGTTTTTTATTTTGAGGCCTTGATTTGAATTCAGGCCAGGCCTGAAGATTCCTCTGGTCAGACAGCTGGAAAGTCCACTGAAAGAAATCATGCAGGTGGTCTTCCAGTTCAGTTTGCAGTGAAAATAACCCAGTGAAATACCTTAATGAAAGCAGCCACCCACACTGGGCACCCTTTAAAGTAACTTCAGAAGCAAATTGAAAAACAGCCTCCAATAAATCTAAGAGCTAATTCTCCATGCCAAGGTAAGTACAACATTAAGAAGGATTAGTTAACTGGAAAGAGCTTGTTACTATATACCTTCCTCCTTAGCAGCAAATAAACAATATTTAAAATATGACTGATAAGTATGAATAAATTGTAGCTGTTCAGTCTATTTATTAGTGTTTTAAAAGGGTACACTGACCTCCTACATCAAGAGAAAGAAAGAGAGAGAGAGAGAGAGAGAGAGAGAGAGAGAGAGAGAGAAAGAAAGAAAGAAAGAAAGAAAGAAAGAAAGAAAGAAAGAAAGAAAAAACTCTAGTTGACACTCAAAGAGAAGATTTTAAGAAACTGATTTTGAGTATCCTCCCATATGTATCTCCACATCTCCCTAGAATTCTTTGTTCTTGGATCAGAAATGGAAAAAAAATTATACTTATGTCAACCACAGCACTAGGACTATACAGAGAATGTCAAAGCATAGTCTATGATGGTATGTGGTGAAGATCATGCCTTAGAAAAACCTGTTATTAAAATGATTTGGGTGATGTTGGGGGTAGATGGAATCAAGTTGGCTGTAACTGAACTGGCTTGAAATAATAAATATGCACACTTTCTTTAAACACAGCTTGCCACAACTTGAAAAATCTGGAATCAATTCCTTCACTTTCAAAATGCTTAAAAGTTGTGGAACTTTGATATGTGTTTGCTTCTGGGTTTACAGTCCTAGCCAGGCTACTCCAGACCTTTCAACTAGAATATTTCAAGGCAGCAAACCTAATCAAACAAAAGAGAGAAAAAACCAAAAATCCAGGAAACTATTACATGAATTGCTGTAGGGCTCAACTGAATGAAAGGAATTTTATCATCCTAACGTGGATTCACCATCACATTCATATTATTACCATTTGAACATAATTATATTCCTTCTTCCACCATCTAAAAATGGGGATGTTAGACTGAATTGAGAATTTGGCAACATTCACAATTTCTTTATGAAAAGAGATAGAAAATAATATAAATAAAATATCAAATAATGCAGAACATGAAACTGCAAATTCCTTCAATCTAAGAAAAGGAAGAGGAGGGAGGTGGGCATGGCATCTTTCATTCTCAGCAGCATTCTGCCCCTATCAGGATAGTTTAAGAGCCACCAACATCAGTTCATAATCTGTTTTAAGCTAGGTTTACCCAAAGGTCCCGCTAGCTGAGCAATCAATATTATTCTATCACAACCCTACAGTTGGCAGTTGGAACAAAACTCCCTGCAGCTTAGACATATTCAGCAATCAAATCCATATCCAAATTACTATAAGAAAGCAACATGAGAAATTAAAAAAACTAAAAATAGCTCGCAAATGCTCACTACATCTTCACAAATGGCAAAAATATTTCTTCTCTTATCTATAAAATACAGTATGCATACATGCACCAACTAAAAAGGCCCATTTGAGTGGCCGTTTTCATATGTCTAATGAACTGCGAAAAACTGAGAGAGGAGAAACCGGAGGCAGCATTTACCCTGAGAAGGCTGAGGATTGTGGGGGAAGCGAGGGGGAAAGGATGCATACATTTGACGTGGAGAAGTAAAGAGAATGTTTAATCATCAGAGAAAGACAATATTCTATAGGTCTGCAGAGGAAGCAGATGCAGTGGTTTCTCCTCTCACAACTCACTGTTATTGTCCTGCTGCTTTGTGTTTTTGATAAACGCAGAGAATTTGGAGAATATGTCTATGCCTGCAGTATTGGATTCACGATGCTTGGCTGCAAGCTTAGGATATCTGTAAATAGAGAAAGAGATTTATTTTTTTTTTAAATGTTCCCAGGAAAGTAAAAACAAAATTTTAAAAATACATGCACAAAAAGATACACTATTAAAAGACACATTTTGTTCCTGGCAAGTGCTGCTTGAACATGAAGCAATGTTTCTGTGGACCAATTTTTGTTTTAAAACTGCCTCTTATCTCAGCAGGTCAGCCTTACAGGACCCTGCTGAGAATGATTGGTGCCACGGGAAGCCAACTAGTTTTAAGTCACACCGCCATGGTTTTATGACAAGGTTAATTGCACCAACGCTTAAAGTCAAAGAAACCAAAGAACTGTAATTTTATATCAGAATAAGCCATATATCTTTGATGATATGGAGGACTTTGGCAGTACACAGCTTCATTTCATTGTAAATGTAGCCTGTTGCTTAATTCCCTCTAGAGAAAAATCAATCCAAGCTATAATAGTTCTTTTCTGTGTAACAACAGAAAAAAGTGGAGGGGGGCTCCCAGTATGTGTGCACTTAAAGAGATGTGTGATTAAAGTTCTACATAGAAATAGAATTTTGAAAAGTGCATTGTAATTCTTAAAAAGTTTCCTGTGGGCTGAGAATCAGAATCTTAAAAGATTAATCACGTTTTAGTATCTGCTGCCAGCTGCCACCGAAGACTATTGAATAAAATTTACGACTTGTAGTTCCTGAAATCAAATGCAGTTATCCTACAGACCATAAAAGTGTTGGTGAGTGATGTCATGTTATATACTGGGGGAAGATGTATCCCACAACTCAGCATGACATAAATACTCATATTTATATATGCTGGGTCTAATACGCTTGAATGACATTCAGCTACTGGAGAAATGAACTAATTATGTACTCTATTTGGAAGATGAACCTGAGTTTATTTCCCAATTGGAAATCCAGGAACTGTGGTTTAATATGAAACAAGACACTTCAGATGAAGATTCTTAAAAATAGAAGAGCTCATAGCTAAGGTTTCTGGCCATCAACTCAAATTCAGATACTGTAAATATAACTTCAGAGAATAGAGAAAAGAGATATACACTTAGATTTATAATCTGATTGACCAGCTATGAGAAAGGCAGGGTAATTATAAGCAAAGTTATTAGTATATTTGTCATTTACTTTAATATAGTGCCTGGCAATCTTAAAGTAACTATAGTAAAATATTTCAAAAACAAAGATAATATATATTACTTTGGAGGTGAAAGAGTTTCCTCCAAAAATTCCTCAATCTTGTTAACATCAGTCTTGACTTCTCCGTTAAAAGTCAAAAATGGTGGGTGGGTCCCCGGAGCTAAATTATGTAAATCAGCAGGCTTTCTGTGGAAACCAAGAAGAATACATTATTATATGTTTAATCATGTATGCTCTTATATTATTATTATTATTATTATTATTATTATTATTATTATTATTATTATTATTATTATTATTATTATTATTATTATTATTATATTCATTTTATTTTTCTTTTGTAATGATTCAGTTCTAATTAAAAAGGGTAAGATTTTCTTATTAACATGAGAAAATCAAGATTCCTAATAAAGATGGGAATAAACTAATGTAATATCATTATACAAACATCTTTCCAAGAGAGTCAGAAACTTATAGTATTACTTTAATTGATAACATTTACCTTTTCAGATCAACTGTGGTTACATTGAATACAACCCCTTTGAGCCAAAGTATCATGAAAAGACGCTGTGAGAATGGACAGTTCCCAATGCTTTCTCCATCTATGCCAGCCTATAGATAATAGGAAATCAAAAGAGAATTAAACAATTAATTACTTTAAGAGAAAACAGCTTGACTTAACAATAAAAGTAAACCTTGGATTCCTTTAAGATAGCTACATGGATTTTTTTGATTAATTTTATTCTGTGCATATAAATCTTTTTTTTTTCAAACAAAACTCCAGCTAGAACAGAGGTATTACCTATCATTGCCAGCCAATGTATTATAAACTGGCAGTGAGCATTCTCAAGACTTGGAGAGGATGGAACAGATGTTGTAAACAGCTATTAAGTAGATATAACATTAGGCTTCAAGTCAAGTTCAGGCAAGGAAAAAGAATGAAGGGAAATTAGGCTTTTTAGGAAAAAAGAGAAAGAGAGCATTCATTTAAAAAATTCCTATGCAAAGTCCAAGATGTTAGGTATTTCTGTTGTAATTGTTGCTGTTTCCAAGCTGGCCCATTGTTGTCTGTTCACATGTCCCTTTTTCATTTCGCGCATATGGGGACCCTGGGAGTGACTAATAAAAAATACTCTATAAAAAACAGGAAAAGAACTTCTTTGTCATTTGTCTCGCCTTCTCCCATCAGTAAATAATTTATTGATTTGCCTAATGTCAACTAAATGAAAATCCTTTGACAGCTGGTGTCTGATTTCTGCGGAGAATGTAAAAGGAAGCTTTTGGAATCTGACCAAATAAGAGTGACGAGGGAAAGAACTAGTGAACAAAAGAGTAACTGAGCCCATGGACAGTAGATAGAAGGCTTAGAAATCCCATCAGCTGTTCAAAGCGGTCTCCAAATGTCAGGTGGGGTGAGGAGAGAGAATATTTGAATGAGTGAGTAAGTAAGTCTACTGCAGGCAAAAGCAATATTGTAGAGATAGACTGAAGTATGGATATTTTGAAAAGTCGGAGAAAAGAGTTCCTTAAAAGATCACAGAAAACATTCCTCTCCTCCAGGAAAAAGAAGCAATGTGCCGTGTCTGGATGTTTGAATGATGGTACAAAGGAAAAGGTTCCTAAAGGGGAAAGCATCAGAAAAAGACAGAAACATTAGTTGATTCACTGGGACAAGTAAATTATTGTATATGGAATCTTATTGTGGCAGGTAAAACTTTTGTTAGGAAGACCTTCCTATTTCTACTTACACTTCTGTGTCCTCACTCCTGCCCAACTCAAGCTCTCTTGCGATCTGAGAACATGCATTTCTTTCTGCCCTTCAGATCTGTGATGCTGTTAAGAACCTGCTCCTCCTTTCCATTGGTTTGCTAGTTTATTTTTGGTTAGAGCTTTTGGCTACCACCCCTTTCCCTTCGCACGGCATTCTTCCTCTTTTCTTCACATATCACCAATCTGCTTTTGCTTCTCTCCCTAACTCACTAATCTGGCACACCCTTTGACTTGTAAATATGCTCTATCATGCTCTATGGAAGCTTGCTAATTGAATATGCATTCCCTTGGTCCAGTTCTGAACTGGCTAGCCCTGTTGTAAGGACCCACTTCAACCTACATCTTAAGAAAGCAGAACTCTTGGAAATAATCTCTTCCAACAGGAACTTTTATTAAGAGTAGTTGATAGCAGGCATAATAGACAGGATATGAGGGATTCCCTTACAGATCGATGTTTTAAAGTATCCCTAAGCAAACCCCACCCCACAGTTCTTCCGGGCGGTTCAGACCAGCAAATCCCCAGGTGTTAAATCCAGGAAAGATAACATCAGTCCGGCTCCATTCTGCATGATCATTCAACAGCTCTTCACACCTTGTTTTGATGACAGAGAAATAAACCAGATCCCAGAGGATTGTATCTCTTCACCCCCTTTTCCTAGCTGCCCGGTAGGGAGAAGAAGTTCATAGGGGGGCATAGGATAGGAGGCAATTTGTTACATTGTAATGGTTAGCAGACACGAAGGCGAATAAACAAAAGGTTACTTTGTAGTGAATAGAGGAAGTGAAAGCAATAAACCCGCATGCATATCTCCCTCTCCCTTGGGAGTATGGCAGGATCCAGGGAAGGGTACAAATTGATTTTAGATCAGAGAAGATAGATAAAAAGGAAATATAACTGGATTCTGACACCTGTTTTGTTTATTGGTATGATTTTGTACTGATAAATCTAAGTTGGAGGTAGAATTGAATGTTCAAAGCAAAATTATTAGTAGCATCTCTCTTTTATTATACTTTTTTCCTTTCATAGAAAAATTTGGTTTTGATATTAAATATTAAGAAAATTAAATAGAGGTCAGTTTGATCCACAAAAGCTGCTGAGCATTGGCTCAAGAATTGAAAAACAACCCTATACATTTAGAGAACATAAAGTGTTTTTCATTCAATTAGCTCAAACTGTATTTGAAATATTTGATCCTAGGTTTTCCAAGTTATAATTGTTCTTTTCTTATATTATTATAAAACATATCTACATAATCCTTTATGTTATTTGGATATAGTTGCATTTGTACAGAACTGACTAAAGATTAGTAACAATAATATTTAGATAAAAGATAAAAGGAGAAAATATTAAATCATTATTAATTATGATTTAAAATATCAATGGTTATGGTAAGACTATTTAGCTTTTTATCAAAAATTGAATGTGACATTTAAAAAATCTTGCAGATTGTATCCAAATATTTGCTATGCAGTAAAGGCTTTTGTCTTCAGCTGATTACTTAGTATTAATGTCTCCACTCTATTGTTACTTAATATTATATTCTAATTAAATATTAGAAATCTGAACAGATAATTAAACATGATTTCACATGTTTGATTTCACATGTTTGATTACACAAAATCAACTAGCTGCTATCACTGTCACAACTCTTTCAAAGTTTCTGCTCCTAAGAGTCCAGCTAGGAACACTCCTTCAGACTCAAGGACACATTGCACAGCTTTAGTTATGTTCTGAAATACTGGCTAAAAGTATTTTTGTGGGGTGAATAGAGATTCGGTGGTGGAATATAATCTTGCTTTCCAGAAGGGAGAGGCTGATTTCCAGAGGCAAAGAGTCAGTGAAGCTTGGAAAGCAGGAAGAGGGTTAAAACGGATCAACTCTAGACATTCCAAGGGTATATCTACAGTTATGCAAACCGTTGCTTTAGTCTGACAATATTCTGTATGCAGGTGAAGAACAATAAAGGAAACTACTCATAAGTGACACTGGAGGTTTTAAGAAGAGATTGGACAACCATTTGTCTGAAATAGTACAGGGTTTCCTGCTTGAGTAGGATGTTGGACTAGAAGACCTCTAAGATCCCTTCCAACTCTATTATTCTGTTATTCAGGTGTGGTTCTTGGGGCCTGACAGATTCTTAAACCAGGCAATCCTTGTCAACAAGTTTTGATTCTTCATGGAAAAAGCATAGATTTGTCTTTTTGTAGATTTTTATCTAATCCTTGAGAATACTGTGGCCTGAGGGTTTTAGAAAAGCAACATGTCCCAGATGGAAATTTGCAGAACAATAGCAGCAGAATTTATTACCCCTGTAAATTTGGTTTCCCCCCCCCCCCCTATTCCTAAGGGCACTTATGACATCTTTGCTGTTCTCACCATACACATTTACTTTCATCAGGCTTCATCAAGATTCTGGAAGGGAAATAAAGTAACCTTTCCTTTGAAGGCCTAACTGTCCTGGTACTTGAATCTGTGTGCTTAAATCAGTGTTACTTATTTGCTGAGCTGCCCATACAGGGCCCCCAGAATTAATACCACCCCTTCGAACTGCTCTAGTTATTCTATGAAACTAATACTCTGATTTCCTATTACCTGATAAAATCTTCGGAAATTCAAAAAAGATTCAAAATATAAAGAAACTCTAAGTATACATAAAATCTGACAGACTGCTTTCTATGTTAAAAAGCAATTAATTACCCGTTTTACCTTTTAGGCATTTTTACTTTATTGTACGGTTTGCTGCTGGATGTTTTAAACAAAATTTTGACCTGCAACTATAAATAAATTTAAATTGAAGTGAATTACAGTATATGGCTGGATGCTACTGATCAACAGACTACATTCTTCTGTTTCCTTGCTCCCAACTTGATATTTTCTTTCTACGGAGAATTGAGGGACAGTTCAGAAATATATTGAGTGGACAGGAACCAAAACAGCACTCTTTGAAGCTCTGAAATGATTCCAAATCTTTGATAAAAGACATATTGGAAGAGGTTGGAATAGCTTTGATGTGTCCATTTTGGTTACTAACTGAAGATTCAGCCAAAGCAAATGCTTACTGCATGTAAGAGTGACTGTGTGTCAACGATGAAACGTTTTTTGATATTGGCAGCCATGGGCTCATGCCAAGGTCAAAGCACACCAATATAGCCAATGCTCTGTCAGCTACAGACTGAAGGGATGGAAATACTCTCCTAAAATATAGCTCCCTTTGCAGGAAAAGAGAAATTAATTTAGAGCAGCTCTCATGCTATCCATATTTCTACCCTAATTTGGGGATGTGGTGGGAGACTGTACGAGGATTGGATCCAAAGCTCCTTACCACCCTATCCAGGACTCTACATTTCCTTTCATAACTTTCCAAGATTGGAATTTTCCAACCTCATAAAGCACCAGGGAAGAAATCTCTAACCTTGTAGAGAGATGAGGGCTCTCCACTGCCTTGGTCTCAAAGGCCACATAATGGCAGTCTAGATAGCATTACCTGTTAATTATCAAGCACTGAATGCCAATTGTTTTCAACTATTAAACAATATCAAAAGATCACCCTTTTAATTGACACTCTAATATTTTTCAATACACATGTTGTTTAGTTGCATACACCTACAGATACATTTCTAAAGTTGTTAGAAAAGAGCATTAAAGAGTTTGTAAGGGAGAGGGAAAGCTGCACCCTTCCCAAACATCTATTTGAGGAATACAGGTAGTCCTTGACTTACGACTGTAATTGGGCCCAAAATTTCTGTTGCTAAGCGAGGCAGTTGTTAAGTGAGTTTTGCCCCATTTTATGACCTTTCTTGCCACAATTGTTAGGTGAATCATTGGAGTTGTTAAGTTAGTA